CGGGGTATCCCCGTCCCCATCCCCTCAGAGCATCCCCGCCACGGGCGGGAAGAACAGAGGTGGCACCAGGGCCGGGGCTGAGCGCGGCCATCCCTGCGGCCGCAGCGCCTGTCCCTGTCACGGCGAGTGACAGTCGACCGCCGAGCGCAAGCGTGACTTCTCCCGGCGGGGATGCTGCCTGCTTTATTTAGAAACGCCTTCTCGTCTGCTCCTCTGTTGCGTCTCCAGTGCACGCAGGCGTCTTTCCAGGGTTGACTCACCTACTCGAGGTCTTCAGAGGTTGTGTCCTCCTGGATGTCAGGCTGGCAAGAAGAGGGTCACTGCCCTGCGATGGCCTGACTGCCATCGCGTTGGGAGACAAGGTCACAGGCCCTTCCCCACCCCTGTATGAACTCCAGGAGAACTCCACCAGGCAGGCACTCCAGGAAATCCCGGCGACACCTGGTCCCCTTTGGGGATCTCTGGAGCATCCCGTGAACCTCTGGTTGAGGGGAGGGCTTCCAGGTCCGGCTTCGGGGCCAGCTCTCCCCTTACCTGGAAAGAAGAGCGGAAACGATCCCTCTGGCAGCGGCACAGGGAGCGGAACCGCTTGCATCCCATTCAAATCAGGTGTCAACGCTGCGAGAGGATCCTCTTAACTTCCACTGGCTTGTCTGAGGCTGGCTGCTGCTGGGGGACGTTTCATCTCCCTCCCGTCTAATCCAGGGAGATGTGTGATATGGCATAAGCTAATATAATAGGTCATGCAAGGATTTGCATCTCATTACCGCAGGTTAGAGACCTGGGAGGAAGGATGAGTCACTCCTGCTGGAATATATTTCAGGGAGAAGGAGCAGTGCAGCCACCCGAAGAGAAGCAAATGGGAAATCAACCACCTTGCAGCACCGCCGCGGGCTCGGCTGGCGCTCCCCCGGCCCCCCCACCCCGGGAGAGCTGCCGGCAGCCGTGGCGCCGTGCCGGAGGTCGTCTCCATCACCCATCGCTCCATCCCGCTAAAACCAGCACTCAGCCACCCTGGGCTGCAGGAGGCTGCCCAGAACAACCTCGTGGTCCCCCTCCGCAGGGCACGTCCCTCTCCTGACGAGTCAGCATCCCTGCCACGAGCGTCTGAGTCCCAGCCGCCGCCAGCAGTCGCCTGCTTGTTTTCACCTAGCTGCTTGGCCGAGCCTTTCTGCTCATCAGGAGCTGTTTTCCCCTAGTTTCTCAGACAGGGAGGGTACGTGGTAGCTGACCCGTTTAATCCAGCTGGAAAAAATCGGTCCTGACTTCAAGTCTCTTACTGTTAGCAAATGCTGAGAGAGAAATCCGGACTGAGCAAAGCTCCTAGGACCAGCCCCGGCAGAGGTCTGCTCCGAACCGGCCCCAGGCTCAAACCCGCCCGGCATCCGAGGGCAAAGCAGCTCTGGGATGCGAGCAGGGATGCTTTTCCTCCTCTCTGCCTCTCTTTTCATCCAGACCTTCTCTCAGCCAGGCAAAACCTGAACATGCTGTTGTCGATGGGAGGTCTGCCTGGGGCTCTCAGCCTACTTCTAAGCAGGCTGTGAAAGCTCACTGTGGGTTAAAATTCATTTTCCATGCACTGTCCATGGGAAAATGTGTAGGAGTTCTGCAGGTCAGAGGGAAAACTGCAATCGTCGCCTCCAGCAGCAGGCAGGACTGCCGAGCAGCCAGCGCAGCATCGACACAGGGCAGGCCGCCGGGATTGAGCCAGAGCCCCGCAGAGCCTTCACCGGGACAAATCCCTTTTGTTGCTCCCAAAAGCGGGCTTGGCTCCGTGACAGCTCCTATCTGTTGGCTGGGTTGTTACCCAAACAAAATAGATGATTTAATTTAAATTTTCCTTTTAAGACAGGTTTTTGCCTGGTGCTATCTTGGGCAAGGGGGGGGGGGAAGGGGGAAAAGGGGGGGAGGCC